GGCTTTATCACCCAGAAGTGAGTCAAGTTCCTCAGCGACAACAGAGAAGAGCAGGTGGTGTATTTTACCTTTTACAGCCACTTTCAGCCTGCATGTGCCTAAACACTCTCTGTCCATTATACTCTTTCAAGTCAGAAGTGCTGATCAAATTTGCTTTTGCACCGGTGTCCAGCGTCATTGTGATTATAGTCCCATTTATCTGCAGTGGTGCTCTCCATTTATCTTCTCTGACAGCATTTAGTTTGTTTTTTGGTTCATTTTCACAGTTGACCATGCCAACAAAAAATGTGTCACACAGATCAGAATCCTCCATCATGCTTACAGAGTTTACTGTCTTCCCCTCGTTTCTTTTCGAGAAGACCTGCTTGGCAAAGTGGTTCTTGCCCTGGCAATTAGAGCATAGCTTACCAAAGGCAGGCCACTGTTTGGGTTTGAATGTTCGATCGTCTGTCTGCTGCGCAAGGCGTCTCCGTCCCTCACTTGAGACAACACTTACAGCGGCGCCATCACCCACACTCACTGCGCTCGCCGCTAACTCGCTGAATGTCCTCACATGCATTTGCGAGAGCTCACTTGCCTGGCAGATCTTGACGGCCCCTTCCAGCGTCAGCTCCGTTTCCCGCAGTAGCCTTTCCTCCACACCAAACACGACCTGGTCTCGGAGCATGGAGTCCTTCAGTGTAGTTAAGTTGCATGACTGTGCTTTGAGCTTCAAGTCGGTCAGAAAGCTATCAAAGGGTTCACGCTGCTGCTGCACCCGGGAACGAAAAACATATCTCTCGTATGTCTCGTTCTTTTTTGGAGAGCAGTGGGCATCAAACTTTTCCAGCACTTTATCAAGTTTGTCTTTGTCATCTTCACTGTCGTATACGAAGGTATTACACACTTCTATGGCTTGAGGGCCTGCTATTGTTAGCAGTAACGCTACCTTCCTTGCATCAGACTTCGTCTCTAGACCCATGATTTACAGCTGAAATTGCTGCTTGAAGGTACAATGTGGAATTACACCTAATCATCACACCTGGGTCATCCAGGGCGTCGGCATGTCCCCCTTCATCATCGTCACTGATCAGGAGGGAGGCCCCTTTCTGCAGATTGGTTGTGAAGGCGGTGGAGCTCTGGTGACCCCTTTCCTCCGGTGCACAAGCATCGCATCAAAGTTTGTTTTTTTACCCACCAACAACTTCAGCTTCACCAAAAGGAACGTCAGTGTCACTGAGTTAAATTTCTTTTTGTAGCTTCTCTGTCAGACGAGCAGACGAGGAACGGGAAAAAGCCTCGGCAGTCCCGATGCACTCGGAGACGTCACGCTGGGAGCCCCATGACCGAAGCCGCCGCGCCGACTCAGCGACCGCCGGGCCCGAGCCACGGGGAGAGCGCATCCGGCCGTCTTCGGAGAAAAGAGCCGCACGGGACCTCAGCGCCCTCAGGGGCAGGGCCTCGCAATGGCCGCAAGCGGCCCCCTCGAGAGCTGCCTGGGCGTGCGGCATCCCCAGACAAGACGCACACAGGGCACGAGTGTCCCCAGCCGTGATGTTGACGCGGGCATGGGAAACACACTGCCTGAACTGCTCACCAGCCATCTCCTCTGCCAGACTTCCTTCCAGGTAAGAAATTTCCTCCTTCCCCCGGTGTGCCGGCGTGCTTATATACGCCTCCAGTTACGCCGTCACACGCTACCGTTCTAGTAGTTTCACTCATGATTTCAGCCCTGCCACGCCCAGAGGCGTTCCCATAGTGTCGTCACCGACGCAGTTCGAGTTCCCTCGAAGGGGAACGAGGTAGTGCAAAGTCAACTTTATACCAAAAAATTCATTCAGTGCAAAAAAATTATCTAAAAACAATACAAATGTTTTTAATATTAAGATGTCTGTGAAGTTAAATAAAAATATTATGAACATAAAAATAAATCTAAGTTAATATAAGGGTAAAACTAAATAGAGCTAAAGTTTTATCCTGCACTATTTCCACAGAATAAATGCTCGGTACACAGCAAGCTGGCAAAAATTACAGCCAACACTTCAGAGCAAAACACGAGTGCTTCTTACTCAAACCCACACCAAAGTGTATCTTAATATCTTAATAACACAAACATGAACAGATTAACTGGAGGGGGGTCACAGTGTCTGACTCAGTTGTGTTTCTCCATTCTGCCTCTCTGTCCTTCCTTCAGACACATTCCCGCCTCTCATTCCCATTTCTCCACCTGTCCACCAGGTGTCCTCAGATGTTCCATCTGTAGTTTTTTGTCGAATCTCCTCCTTAGGTACGCTGTAGCCTATGCATAGCCACGTGTGGAGAATATTTCTTAAGGGGCTTTGTTGATGTGACAGGGAAAAGTAAGACAGCTCTAGCTTAGAGTAATTTAGCTGACCCCATAAGTGTTTTCTGACATTCTAGCTTTAGGTGTTTCTCACATGTACTTAGACTGATTAGTTAGAGACAGTAGCTCAGGCGTCAGGCTGGCAGATATCAGTGTTCTCTGGGAATCTTACAAGAATATTTACAAGAACTCACTGGCTCCACAGATCAGAGAACCACTCATGGATAGTGAGAGATTCCAATATGAGGAAGCATTGGAGTCTAAACATCAGATAGATCAGTTGTAGGTGAAAGAAGACCTAATAGAGAAACCTACAGGCACTGGGGGGAAGAAAGAAACATAAAAGGGACCACCAGATGTTCTCCTTCAGATTTGGTGTTGGCATGTGACGTGATCACATGTTGTATGCTGGCGCTGTGTCTCCTCGGCCCGGCTCAATAAACCACGCTATGTTAAGTCTTCATCAGTCTCTGAAACTTCTTCACACCTGAACCTGACTCACAATATTTCTTCAACATTGGTTTTTCATTCAATATGGTTTTAGTTCTGATATTTCATGATGATGTCAGCTGCTGTTAACTCTGCTCACCTGACGAGGATTTCAACTAAACGTTAAAAACAATAATAAAATAATTTTATTGATATTGTTCAATACCACAAATTATTAATTTGCCGCCAAGGGCTTTAGGATAGACGGTGCTGTATGCTGTACAGATTCAGCATACAGCACCGTCTATCCTTAAAGTCTTGATACAGATCAGAAATAATCTCTGTAAACAGATATCTGCATATGAATGCGTTCTGGTTTCTGTTTGTAGTCCGAATAGTATTGACCAATCAAATCTGAGCTGGTTTTGGTTGCATGCAGGTCAACAGTCCGTGTGGAGAGCAAATAAGGCAGAAACCATCGGCTATCATCTGATGAATATTTAACTTCAGATTAGCTTATATCAGATGACAGCTGATGGGCTCTCAGATTGTTTATCGGACTGTAAACAATGACAAGAGCACAGAAGAGGAAGTCTGGGCCTGGACATCTGCATCTTCTTCTGAAGAGTCAGAATCAACCAAGTGAATTAATGAAGTGAATCCTCTGGGGACCAAGAATGTCTGAACAACAATGTCAATCCATCCATCCTTTGGTCCAGGTCCAGTCCATCTGGACCAGCAGACATCAGCATGCACAGAGCAACACTGCTAGTGTGTCTAAAAAGACAATAAAAGAAGAGACAGTCATGCTGATATGAACATTAGAGAAACACATCATGCAGCTGAAATATGATCCTGGTTCATCATCTGGACTCGTTCACCTCAGCTGACACATTCAGCAGCTGACAGGTTTTTGTATTACTCTGTTTCACTGTGGCTATGACATCTTTGGCTCTGGAACTAAACTGTATGTAACAGGTAAGAATAAACATTTATTTTCCATCAGTTGTTTTATTGAACAAGTTAAAATGTGTTTTTTATGAGTTTCTGCTGTTTCAGGCTTCAAATATTAGTTTGTTCATAATTAGAGTTCTTACAGCCGTGCAGCTATTGTTACATAAAAAGGTTGATAATTCCTGACAAGATGTTTAAATCTCACTGCACAACTGAAGTTATTCTTTATTTCTGCACCAGCAAAACTGATTCATATGGAAAAAGTAAGATATTGACAAAGTTGTAAATATACAGTATTTGATCCTCTCAGTGAGTCAGCGCAGTCTATTGTTTTTGAAAAGACATTTTACTATAAATATGTTGTACAGGATAATTTATTCATTTTAAATGATAAAATTTACATCATGACAGTCAGATACTGATAATATTGCAATAACTATAATTTATGTATTTATATATGTAAAATAGAGTGATACAAAGTCGCTCACAAATATATTTGCATTTTATACTTTTAATATAAATACAAATAGTTTGTGATGCTTTATAATTTAAATTATAAAACATGTTTTCAAAATAGATGGTAGTAAAAATGATGTATCAGGTTCTTTATAATTTTAACATCACATTATTACATTATATCAAAAAGTAATCAGTCAATAGTGAATCTTATTTAATATTATAAAGCTGTCTTTATTCACATTTAACATATTAAACAAAGACATTATTGATGTATTGATTAGTTGTTGAGTGGTTCAAGTTCAGAAATTATAAATAATGTACGTGACTTGACTTGAAATTATTTTATGTGAAGTAAATATGTAATTTGGTGTAATATGTATTTTTACCCTAACATGTAAACAGTAGTTTTGATTCTTATGTAATGTTTGATATTATGTTACATTAAAATGTACTTAGATTACAGTATTGTTGTTTCATCAGACTTTCGATCATGTATCTGAACATATATGTAAATTGTGTTTTATATAGAATTTTTTTAATTTTAAAACTTTATGAAATTACTGATGCAACAATTAGATTTTTTTGTTGCTAAAATAAAGTATATGATATATAATGTCTAAGTAAATGTAAAAGTATAACTAATTTAATGTGAACGTAAAAAATACCTTTATTAAAATATGTTTATTAACCCTAATATATAAACATTAAGTTTTTAAAGGGGATATTTCATAATTATATTATAAGAATCCAGCATATGTAGAACTGCTAAATAAGTAAAATTATTTTCTTTCCTCATATAACATATTAATATTATTATTATACATGACATGTGTGATATGAAGGTGAATCCAGTCCATGTAGTGAACTGTGTGCTGTATTGATGAGGAGCTCAGTGATCAGAGTCCATGTAGTTTCCAGGATCAGACTGAATGCAGTGCTGGAAGCTGCTGTTGACTGTGTGAATGTGTGTCTGTGCTGCTTGTTGCTGCTGTCAAACTTCAGATAAGCCGGTAGTGAAGCCCGTGGTGAGCGTGTACCCAGCAGCATCCAGAGCCCACCATGAGGGGAAGAGCTCCCTGCTGTGTGTGGCCTCAAACATGTTTCCTCCTCTGGTCCGCTTCTCCTGGAAAAGACGAAAGGTGAACGAGTCTCTGGAGGAGCAGGCACCTGCTGAGGAGGAGCAGGCACCTGCTGAGGAGGTGCAGCTGGAGCTCAGAGAGTCGGGACGCACCGCCGCCATCAGAGTGATTCATCGGGACGCTCTCTCCACGTATAAATACCGCTGCTACGTCCAGCACGAGGGGGGGGAAGTGAAGGCCCAAACAGAACAAGGTAATGAAGGCTTGGTGACTGTGTTCAGCAGAGATTCAGCTTCATGTGGAGACGCTGTCAAAGAGAGCAGAGGAGCAGAGGACTGACATTTCTTTCTGACTCCTTTTCTGTTTCAGAGGTTCCGGTGGCCTCCTGTCCTCCAGAGAGAGAGCCAGCAGACCTGGCAGCTCTGCAGCAAGCTGACTGTAAGATCACCTGCTGCCTCTCTGCATAGACAGCTCCAATGTTCTGCTGCAGTTAGGGCTGCATGTAAAAATCAACTAGTCCGACTTCAAACTCATAATAACCTGTTTCTTTTCTGTTTGATCCTTGAGGGACTTTGTCAGAAATTGTAGTTAGTTGTGAATTAGAAAGTTAATTGTAGCTCTTAACTTTAAAGGAGAGAATCAGATGGGACTTTGAAGCCGACCCGTCTTCATGTCGTCCCACCTGGAAGGTCCCAAGTATACTAATGATATTCTGATGTCTCTGTCTGTCTGTCAGTGTCCTTCCAGTCTCAGTGCAGGGTGAAGCTGCTCTGGCTGCTGTACACAGTGCTGATAGTGAAGAGTCTGGTGTACTGCTGTGGACTCCCTCTGCTGTGAATCCTCAGAAACAAGGGACCGTCCACCGGCTGCACACATGCTGACTGACTGCTTTCTGCTGGCCTTTTCTCACCATCAGATCTCATCAATTCATCTCAGTGATCACCACTCAGAAATGTTATGTTGTGCACAGGTTAGATATAGTCTTCAAAAAAATATAAACACATATATTTGCAGTTACTGAGTGTAAATTCTGTGGTATAGTGTTATTTTGATCATCTAGTTTATTTCCTCTTGTAGAAAATGTAACTGAATTATTAGCTGTCTGCTAGATATTTTATCATTTACAATATTTTTCTGTTCTCTTTTTAATACATTATGCAGAGTGTGGTAGAATTCTTTTAGAGTAACTTTCTCAATAAACTAAAAAAATCACAGCATCTGGGTTTTATAAACATCCTTGTTTTTATGGATTTCGGGTTGGTCTCATAGCAAATAGTTAACTTCATTGGTAATGTGAGTTGACAGCTACATGTAATTTGACTCAGGTTGTAAGCAGCTCACAATATACTTTCACACAGCGCCAAGAACAAATGTACAGGAAGATATGAATATAAGCACACAGCTAAACAAGGACAACAAAGCTAAACAAAGATGAGCGAACATAAACATATAGCTGTTATATACAAGTCAGCAAGTGTGGTTCAGCGGTGAACCCCTTTTATAACTGTGTCAGTGTGGATGTAAAACTCTACGCTGTTGTTGCACGTTGTTTAGTTATTATTCACATGTGAACACTCTGCTGTCTGACTGCCTGTTAGAATCAGTTTGAGGTCATAAAGTGGGATCAGAGCAGACTGCAGGTGGTTGAACATATCTCCTTTTATTTCAGCTTCTCAGCTCTGAGTTCAGGATTTGAGCTGTTTCTCTCACAGATTAATAACAGATCAAAACTGAGACAGTGAGTACTGAGCGCTGAAATCAAACTGAACTTCCTAGAATGATTTGACGGTTGTAACTGTCATTGTGTTATTAATGTGAAAAAGTGCAGCTAGCGGTGAGGAGGCTGCAGAGCAGAAACCCACACTGCTGCAGGAAAGGAAGTGCTGATTGTCTGTCAACAGTTTTTTATGAGTCCTAATAACCACTGAGAACAGATTCATATCTGCTGCTGTACACACTCATCAACTCCTCTCCCTCTCTGTAGCTGTTTGTCTTTTCTCTTGTTGTCTGGAAGCCTTTTTTCCACTGAGCCCTCCACCCACACAGAGTTGAACTGAGCCCAGAGACCAACAATGACGACCCACCTGGAGGTCACGTCCATGGACTTTATTTATGGGGATTTTAGCCATCAAAGGTGAACTTTACAGTTTACACTTGGTGTTGATGAGAGTCAACAAGTCCTCATACAAACATGACTAAAGGCTTCTTTGTCAGAGCCGGAAACAGAAACACATTTCATTACAATCCATCCAATCGTTGTTGAGGTATTTCAGGAAGGGCTTGGTAACAGGAGCTGAAGCTGCAGCGGCAGTAAAAGGCCTCATAAGTGAAGCAGTGCATTGTTGTAGCCACTAGAGAGCAGCAGTACTCCCAAATACACACTACATTTTAATGATATTATACTACATTTTAATGATATTATACATATACATACACATACCAACTTTGTTTTCTGTACTATATGCTAAATATATTATGCTACATCCCTGAGCACGGATGAAAACATCACCATCCTATCTGCTGACAAAGGATAATTCACAGTGGTCCTAAACACAGCGGATTACCAGGACAAGGTCAACACATTACAAATGGACACAAATACACAAGAAAAAGGCCATAAAATGTCTATAACAGCTACAGGAAGAAAACATCACCGGTGAACAAAGAAGGAGCCCCACTCAGGCCCAATAGCATAAACTCGGTCACCTACAACATTGCCAAACACATATCTACCATCTTAGCCCCCTTGGTTGGCAACACGCCTCACCACATCCAAAACTCCATAGACTTTGTGAACAAAGTCAGAGGACTGAAACTGGACCCAGATGAAACCATGGTGACCTAAGATGTGACTTCCTTGTTCACATGTATCCCCACCATTCAATTCAAATCAATTTTATTTATATAGCGCCAAATCACAACAACAGTTATCTCACAGCGCTTTTCATAAAAGAGCCGGTCTAGACCGTACTCTATGATGCTATTTACAGAAGCCCAACAGTTCCCACCAAGAGCAGCACTAGGAGACAGAGGCAAGGAAGAACTTCCTTTAAGAGGCAGAAACCTCGAGCAGAACCATGACTCAGGGTGGGCGGCAATCTGCCTCGACCGGTTGGGGTGAAGGAGAGAGAGCGGGGGGGGGGGGGGGGGGGGTGGAAGGAGAGAGAGGGGAGGGAGGCAGCCTACACAATATAAACACAGAGGTACAGACAGTAAAGGTGATGTTGCTATAGACTAAATGAAAAATGGTACAGATATTTATAGTAGTGTTAATGATAACAATCGTAATGTTAATGATTATAATAACAATAATAATAATGGGACTAGTAACAATAGTCGTTGTAGCAGAGGGTGTCGCAGCAGGTGACCCGCAACCACAGATCCAGACTCCACAGCTCCAGAGCCAGAAACACCTGCAGGAAGTGATAGGAGGAGAGAGGAGAGGGACGAGAAAGTACAAGACTACCAGAAAGGGGAGAAGTTGTGATTGTAACATGCAATAATGGGATGAGGTTGCCTACAGAGGGAGAGAAAGTAGAGGAGAGAGGAGCTCAGTGCATCATGGGAAATCCCCCGGCTGATGGAATCGCATCCTTAAATTTAGCTAGAGCACTATCAGAGAGACATCTTGTATAGAAATTTTTGCCCAATGGTGTATAGTTTAGCAATACAAACTCAAAAGTTATCAAACAGTGGTCGGACAAAGAGGGATTCTGTTGGAAGACCACTATTTCAGTACCATACACCAAAACAAGGTCGAGGGTGTGGTTAAAACAGTGAGTCGGTTCATGAACACTCTGAGAGAAGCCAATGGAATCTAACAGAGAGATAAACGCAGTACTAAAGCTGTCATTCTCAATATCCACATGAATATTACAATCCCCTACAATAATAACTTTGTCCGTTTTAAGGACTAAAGTTGACAAAAACTCTGCAAATTCAGATAAGAATTCAGTACAGAGTACGGGCCAGGTGCTCGGTACACTATAATTATAGTGCGCCGGCGTCCGGAGGGATGAGGCAAGGTTGGGAGAGAGGTAGCTAGCCAGTGCCTCCTCCACTCGTGGCATCGCTCCCTAGCCGTGCTGTTTGATTTCAGTCACGTTGCCATAGTCCAGCCTGGGGGGACGTAGACAGCCGTGCAGAGAAGGGTTATTCCATGATCTACACAACTCGTTGTGCAGATCCGGAAAAAATGGTAGGGGCCGTCACGGGGTGGTGCTCGGTGTTGCAGAAACCGCTCATCTAGTTTGCTGCCTGCCGAAGGCTGCTGCATCGCCTGTGGCCAATCAATGTGCAGCTTGGCTACGGCCCGCGTCACCACTTCCAACAACTCCTCGTATCCTGGCGAGGGCTGATGACGTTCAGTTTCCTCTATGCTAAGCACATCTAGCTCCTCAGAGCCAGATCGTGTCAGCCTTTCCGGACTCGCCCCTCGAGTGGGAGAAACCGAGAAACGGGCTCCCGATCGGGGACGAGGGGAGGAGGATTCCGCGGACGAGGACCGGAAAAAGGCCTCAACCGTTCCGGCACCCTCGGCGATCTCGCGTTGTGATCCCCAGGATCGGAAGCCGCCGCGACGACTCAGCGACCGCGGGGCCTGTGCCACGAGGGGAGCGCATCCGACCATCCTCTAGGAAGAGAGCCGCTCGAGACCTCAGCACCCTCAGGGGCAGGGCCTCGCAATGGTCGCAGGCAGCCCCCTCGAGAGCCGCCTGAGCATGCGACATCCCCAGGCATGAGACGCACATCCCATGGGTATCACCTTCTGTGATGAAACGCTCACAAGGGAAGACACACTGTCGGAATCGCTTTGACATGATCTTCTGCTGCTTCGTCTCGATGTCAGGTAGGAAAATGGAGCTTCCAAACATAGCCAGAGTGCCTGCTGAATAGAAAGAAGCTAATGTGTCCTGTGTGCCTGCGTGCTTATATACCCCCTCCGGTTACGCCGTCAAACACTACCGTTCTAGTAACACCAATAGGATTGGAGTAGTTTCATTCATAGTTCAGCCCTGCCACGCCCAGGGGCGTTCCCATAGTGTCGTAATGCGCAGTTCGATTTCCCACGAAGGGGAACATCAAGTTCACACAAGATGTCAACGACAGCAGTTTGGCCTTCCTGGACTGTGCTGTATACACTGAAGAGGACAGAAGCCTGAAAATGAGGGTTTACAGAAACCCACACACAGACCAATACCTACTTTTCAATCCTAAATGGACTTTTGTGAAAACAGCCAGAAGATCCAGGAACAACACCAACACTATGAGGGATGAGGAAAGAAGCAAAAACAACAATGTGATTCCATACGTGTCTGGAGTAACAGAGAAACTCAGGAGGATATTCAACAAACACAACATCATGTTTTTTAAACCCAAGAACAGACTAAGACAGATCCTGGTCCACCCCAAAGACCGCACACCCAAACACAAGAAAAGTAATCTGTATGCGGTACAATGCAGTGAGGGATGCACAGACCTGTATATTGGGGAGACTAAACAACCACTACACAAATGCATGGCTCAACACAGAAAGGCCAACTCCTCAGGTGAAGATTCTGCAGTCTACTTACATCTGAAGGACAGAGGACACGCGTTTGAGGACCACCAGATGCACGTTTTAGACAGAGAGGATGGATGGTTTGAAAGAGGTTTCAAGGAAACCATTTACACCCGGGTAGAGAAGCCGTTGCTGAACAGAGGAGGGGGTCTACGCCACCACTTACAATGCTGTCCTTTCGCCACTTCCCAGGAAACTGAACAAACGTAACCTCTTGGCCTCAGGTGATGGTCGTTCAGACTTGGCCTTGGGTGACTCTAACAACCATAACTGTCGTTACAACAGCCAGGAGCACCAACCTTGGATAACTATGACCTAGATCACTGAGAAACCTCACAGATATATCATACTACATATTGTTTCTATTATACCACATACTTAACCCCTTGACGTTGATTGTAGCGAATTCGCATCACACCTCTTCCAAGATAGCGCATGGATTCCCCAATGTCTGAGATACTGATTTTGGGATTTTCATTAGTTGTCAGTTATAATCATCAAAATTAAAAGGAATGAACACTTGAAATATATCAGTCTGAGTGGAATGAATGTATAAATTATACAAGTTTCACTTTTTGAACGGAATTACTGAAATAAATCAACTTTGTGATGATATTCTAATTATATGACCAGCACCTGTACACTGTAGCATTTCTACGTTTACTTAAGATTTTAAACTGAAATATTTCTCCACATATGATTTTAAATGTAGCTAGAACAGAGGAAATAAAATCTTATGTCCTGGTTGTTGTAAGAACACGTGCTGCAGCATTCTGGATCAGCTGGAGAGTCTAAATGGACTTTTTCGAGCAGCCTGATAGTAAGAAATTACAGTAATCCAGCCTAGAAGTAACA